TACAAATAGTTTTCTCCCTAAGGCTCCCCATGTCAGTTTAGCCCATGGAGAGCATAGTTCCCTCCACACTCCTTTCCATGGATCACCTGGGTCCTTCACTAATGATATCACCTCAATGCTTCTTTCGGTCCTTGAACCATCTTTATAATTCTTTTCAATCTTCTGTGCAATCATTGTATTTCACTTGAAGCAAAGTTACAGAGTTCCCCTTGATAACTTCTTTTCTCCCTTTGGTGATTCTTCTCAGGTGCAATCAGTGTTGGTCACATCCTGTAATCTCTACCATGCAAGAAATGATACTAAAGATTGTTTGAGGAGATGGAGATCACAACCATTACATACTGCATTGCATTTCAAATACACAGTAACTCTATCCAAAAAACCTCTTCTTTACACCACCCTCCAGTCAAGTTCCAAATTTCTCTTCCCAGCCGCCTTCAGCATGCTCCAGGTTCCTCCTCAGCTCCTTGTTTTCCTAGAGCTCTAAATTCTTTCTACTTTGTAAAGGCAATTTGGCCCTACCTCAGTTTCTCTAATTTGCATCTTCACACTTAAAGCCACCACATTCAATAAACTAGAAAACACCCCCGGGCCCATCTTTCTTAGAAGGTAACCAAACATTATAGGTAATAAATAATATTTTGCCTTCATGCTACATGTGCAATGTGTGTTATTTCCTCAACAGACTATAATCCCACATCTTAAACACAAGAACATTTACTTAGTAGGCCAAGGACAATGCTTCATATTTTACACGGATCAGTCTCTAGGTCTTCCATTTGCTGTACATCCACTAAGACCTATCCTATTGCAAGTAAAGAGCAGGTATTAAAAACAGGTTGGTAAATTGATTTCTATTGTATCCAATAATCTTTCAAAGCTCCAAGAGGAAAGGATTTAAACCAGTCAGACGAATTCTGGCTCACTGACAGAAATAAATCCACTGTATGTATTTTCAAGGATTCTAAATATGTAAAAAATGTATGTGCTATATATCTCTACTTGTCTTTCAATAGTGTAGGCTCCTAAACTTTAAGAATCATTACTAAATTATCTAAAATTAAGTATCTATCAATAAGAAAAATGTTAAAACCTTTACAAAAAGAAAATAGGAGTGCTTTTTTGTAACACCATAACCTCACTAATGGAAGGAATTCAATTAAAATGATATTTCATATATATAACATTTCAAAAACAAAGATATCCAATGTTAGGAAGGATGTAATAAAGCAAGTATAGGCATGTAATGCTAATAGGGCTACAAATGAAAGCACTACTTTGGAAAGCAACATATACCAGAAGACCCCAAGATATTTTATCTTTATAGTCACTATTAAAAACTACTAAGAATTTATCTTGAGAAAATAAGATAAATTTATGTACAGAACAATAATAACAATAACAACAACGAAACAAACAATAAAAAACCCACAAATATCTGATTAAAATGGTCAGAGGACCTGAATAGATATTTTTCCAAATAGATACAGATAGCCAACAGACACATGAAAAGATGCTCAGCATCACTAAATCATTAGGAAAAGGGATATTAAAACCACAGTGAGATGTCACCTCATACCTGTCAGAATGACTATTATCAAAAATACAAGAAACAACAAGTGTTGATGAGAATGTGGGGAAAAAAAGAAACCATGTGGCTGTTAGTGGAAATGTAAATCAGTGTAGTCACTCTGGAAAACAATATGGAGATTCCTGAAAAAAATTAAAAATAGAAATACCATATAATCCAGTAATTCCTCTGCTGGGTATTTACTAAACAAAAATGAAAACACTAGTTAAAAGAGATACAGGCACCCCTAGTTTATTGCAGCATTATTTATAAAAACCAAGATAGAAAAGCAATAGATGAGTAAAGAAGATATAATATACATATATAATGGAATATTATTCAGTCATAAAAAAAGAATAAAATCTTGTTGTTTGTGAAAGCATAAATGGATCTAGAGAGTCTTATGCTAAGTGAAAGACAAATCCCATATGATTTCACTTCTATGTGAAATCTAAAAAAAAACAAAACAAAGCAAATAAACAAATAAAAAACAGACTCATAAATTTGGAGGACAAACTGGTAATTGCCAGAGGGTAGGGGGATGGGGAATGGGCAAAACAGGTAAAGGGGATTAAGAGGTACAAACTTCCAGTTATAAATATGTCATGGGGATGAAAAGTGCAGCATTGGGAATTAATCAATAACATTTTAATAAACTTGTATGGTGACAGATGGTAAGTACATTTATCATGGGGAACACTACATAATATATAGAAAGGCTGAATTACTATTTGTATACCAGAAACTAATTTAACATTGTCCACTACACTTCAGTAAAAAAATTATGAGCAAACATTTCTAATGCAGTGCTATTTCAAAATGGTAACACTTTAAAACAGCCTAAATTTATAAGAGGAGTATGATTAAATAAATTTTGATGTACCTACTGAAACTAATGTTATTATGACACACTAAAAGCTCGATAATAAAGGGTCTGTGATAATATAAAAATTTCTCATTAAAATGTTAACTGAAAAATCAGGATGCAAAATTATATACACAAAATGATTATAGCAGAAATACAATGTACCTGATTATCCATAGGAAAAAATGCATTGGTAACTTTGCATCTTAGAATTGTGAATATGCGTACCTCGGTTAGCTCAATCAGTTGAGCACAATCCTGTGCTTGAGCACAGGTCTTGATTTTTGCTCAGGTCCTGATCTCAGAGTTGTGGGATCTAGGCCCCCCATTAGGCACTGTGTTAAGCCAGGAGTCCGCTTGAGATTGTTTCCCTCTCCCTCTCCCTCTGCCCCTCCCCCTGATATGCTTCCTCTCTCTCTCTCTCTCTCTCTCTCTCTCTCTTTCTTTCTCTCAAATAAATAAATAAATCTTTAAAAAATTACAGATATTTTCCCACTACTTTATATTTTTGATATTTTTATAGTAAGCTTAAATTATTTATAGTAAGAGAATAATAAAAAACTTTTAATAGAAGCTTTGGTGTGGGTGTATAAAGTGGAAGCTTTTCTCAATCCTCTCTGAAACAAAGTAACTGACTAATACAACATTCCAAACACTCATAGTAAATAGATTCCTTTCAACTGAGTTGTTGTCGTGAGCCACAGTAGTATTTCCCAAACCGGCTGACGTCTATTATAGTGGTAACTAGAATTATGTAAGGTAATAAAATAGGATGCCATTGAATGAAGCATACAAAAAATTGTTTCTATGAGAAGAACCAATAAAGGTATGTCACTAAAAGAAGAGCTGTCAAATTAGTTGTAGACAGATGGTATCAGAAACACTGGGAAAACATGGGAAATCATGATTATTATTTATTTATATGAAAATCATAGAAGGATTTTGCACTCAGACTACGACACATGTATCTCTAATTCTTTTCCTTTAAAAAGCAAGAAATGAACAGTGGATACCATCTCAGAGTCATTCTTACTACAGTCTGTGCCACAAAGTTGAATGAATTGCCAGTTAAGACATTTAAGTTCAAGGCAAAGGTTTCTGTTTCTTATATAAAAAAAATTTGATATTTGAATGTTTCTTTATATGACTTAAGCAAAAGAAAATGACAGAACTGTATACTTTAATCAATTTTTTAGATAAGCCCACAAAAATACTCATTGGTCAGATAAGAAGGCCTCTACTGCATATGATATATATATATATATATGTTACTTATAACCATATAACTAATTATAATTTAAGAAATGATGTTATGTATATGCTTATAAGTGAGTATATATGTATATATGTATGTATGCATATAAAGATACATATACATTTGCATAGGTATATGTATATGCATATGTACACACACACACGGACACACACACACACAAAATATATATAAATACCATGAAATTAACTACTCTACTGCTTGACCAAATCATGCAATCATGCAGTAGACCTTTCACAAGGTGGTAATTTAGCAAACTCAAAGTGTGAAATTAAACTTCGTGACAATGACCATGGTGTACATAGCCACTATAGCTCTGGTTGAAAGCATCTTGTTTAAGTTACTGTTCCATTACCCCTATCAACAATGGCCAGAGCCAAGGAACTTCTTGTTCAGACAGTCTAAGATTCACTTTCTGGTGTAGTTCTCTACCTAAACCTAAAGCATTCAGTGCAAAGGCACCATTTGCACCCAATTTAGAAGTCTGCCTACAAAGTCTGTGGATTATTAAGTTACTTGGGGGTTATTCCAAGCTTTTAAAGGTCCTTCCTCTTCAGTGTATAAAGTAAGACTGACTAAATGAATCCCGAAGTCCAAATGGCGAAGAAAGTCACTCTTGTTTAAAAATATCTAAGTACATTTTGTTTTGGTGAATGGGTACATTTTCATTTTTCTCCTTTGCTGAAAAGATATAAAAATGGTAACATATATATGAGAACATTATACTAGTAGTTAAGTGTAATGGTGAGTGAGAAAATATTCTAATTAAAACATGGATATAGTGAATAAACTGGGGTTCAGAACTTTGTTCCTTGCTTTCTAGCTCTGTGATCCTGGGCAAGTTGCTTAACATTTCTGAACTGTATATGCTCATCTTAAAAATGAGAAAATTACCGCTATCTTCATGAGTTTTCATGAGGTCATTCTGAAACCAGTCAAAACCACTCACGTGCCTGGTACATTTATTGAGTAGGAGACAAATAAATGTTAATTTATCCTCCTGCTCAAGTTTTGGTGTCTTAATCTGACATAGAGTTATTTAGGGATCTAAAGCAATAGTATGCATCTGGTATACTAGTATATACCTGGGCCCGGGTCTGACAGACAATAAATGTCTTCTCTTTAAAGAAAAAAAGAAGTGAAAATATTTATAGGTAACTTCTTATCCAATGTTGTTTGTACTATTTGTTAATTTCATTAACCACATGGAGAGTATGCACTAATACTTAATACATCTTACACACACAGAGACATACACACACACAGAGTTCCAAGTGAAACTTAAGGCTTACCTGCAGTTCCAGAGAGTTCCACACTTAAGGTTCGTTCAATAGTCTTGTTCTCAAATGGGGAACCCTTGGGGTCACTGGAAGATATGGCACATTTATAAAAACAAACTGAAATGGAGTTGCTGTAGCCAAATGTATTAGAACCCCCTTCCCTTTCTGAAAATGGTTACATTTCTTAATACTTACTTTGGTGACTCTGGGGTCAAAGGAAGAGATAAAGTTGTTGGTTTGGCTAAAGGAAAAAAAAAAGGAAACTAATTATGAAATATTGAGTTTTTCAGGTGTTTTTTTTTTTAGAATTTTTTTTTCTTACTATAATCAGGTTGGAAACTGGAAACTGGAAAACTAAAGTAAGGAAATCCCTGAATATTGGATCAAAGTCAGAAAACAGTCCATTATGCTAAAACAAATTCCAAACAACATTTGCATCAGTAAACTATCATTCGAAAGCACTTACAAAAACAGAATTTTCCCCAAAATGTAGCATCTCTGTTAAGGATACAAAATTTGCATCATACCATCAGAAAGAAATAATGTGTTCTATTTTAATTTGGAATACAGTACACGGTTTGTTTAGACAAGAAAACAGCAGAATAACTATAAGACAACAGAACGTTATGAATATTCAGTTGATTTTTCTCCTAAAATGTATAATTTTATATCTAGCCCTGAGAATAGGTTATTTCTATGAGGCCAAAGCTCAAGCAATAACCATTCCATTTACTGAAAATTAATTGAGAAATTATGACAAACTGTGGGCATTGACCCAGACAGTTTAAAAGGGGTTCAGATCCCCAAATCTTATAGACAACTAAAGTAAGATACTGCATTTATCAGTTGAGAGACCTATAGACTTGCAAAGAGAGCTCATTTACTCCTTTTATGCTTCCTAAATCTTACCTCCTACAGGAGGCATTTCCCAATTAGGAAGGGTGGAGTAAGAATCTTCTTCTCACTCCAAAATTTCAATTGCTTCTCCTTGGCAGTCTTGTATTTTGAACAGAAGGAGGGGAAAACATGATGAGAAACGTACTTGGGATATACATCCACATATTATGTATATATATATATAAAATATGCTTATCTATAAAGATATATTTATATGTATGTAGGTTTATGTCAATTTTTTCTCATTAACATAACTACTTTCAAAAGGTCAAGAGGTAGTCATTTACGTAATGAAAATCATAGACTTGAAACTAAAAAGGTCTTTAGAATAAACTCTTACTTTATGGATGAAAAACCTGAGACCTAAAGATGTGAAATGATATTTCCAGGGCCATAAAACTAGTTACTGGCAGAGTCAGCTCAGAATATGTTTCCTTTTTCCTATTACCAAAAGGAATTGCATTCAATAGATATTAAAGTAAATTAATCAACCCCAGTAATTAAGGTCCTTTGAAATGTGAAAATATTATTTATGTCCAAATTAGGCTGAAATTACATACTTTACTTGGATAAATAGTATTTACATATTTAATTTGTCGATTTAGATTTAGTTTTTAAACAATCGAATGGTTTATCATCTATCCAATGCGCATCCAGAAATAAGAAGTTCATGCTGTCTTCTACAAATTAGGTGCATTGACTGATTGGCTTTTATATATACAGATAAATGAACTGGTTTATATTAATTTTTTTAGTATGTCTGATCTAATGAGCCTTTCCAAAAGAACACACTCATGAAGGAAATTTACCAACATTTTCGGCATTCAACTAATAATTAGGATCATGCATAGGGGTTTCATACGCAAGTATCACTAGATACAAACTGTGTACTATGTCACACAGTAAATATACATCGAAAATCGGTCTCTGGGATTCCAGTTTTCAAGGTGTGGGGTAGGCTATCCGAAATGCTCAAAGGAATTTCCCTAACATTCTGACAGTTGGGTATGGGTGATGGCAAGGGCACCGTAAGGGGAGCAGAAGGCAGCGGCCATGTTTAATGGGACCAATAGGAAACAGGAAGAGAAGGCTATAGGAAGGTTAAGCCCCCAACCACACACAGTAAAGAACGCCATCCCTGAATATGCCCACACTCACAAAAGATACCACTAGAGGAGTATTGATTTGTTGTACTGGGAGTGTAATCCACACTATTTCAATGACTAACAGACCAGGGCCTCTAAAATCCTTGAGGGCAGGAATGCATCTTTTTCATGCAGATCATGGTCTTTTTGATGAATGAATACATTAGTAAATGAATGAATCAATGAATACAGGGGACACCAACATGAGTCAAAGATCAGGCCACTATCCTAAGGAAGTGAAAAAAACTTGACCCCACAATATCATAGACAGCACACATGCAGTTCAGTGAGAGAACATTACAGTATGTCAAGAAAGATAAACCTCAGTAGATTCTGGGTTACTGTCTCTAACTGTTAATATATTTTCTACTTTTAAAGTTTAAATCATAATTTAAATAAATCCTGAAGCTGAGCACTTATTTTCTGTTGGTTATTCACAGCCAGCCATGTTTATTTTGTTCTTGGCCTTTAATACCTATGGGAATTTTGTGGGGTTTTTGATTGTTTGGTTTTGGTTTTTTGTGTATGTTTTTGTCAACAGGCTTTGTTCTGGGATAAACTTTTTATGCTTTGCCACAGGCATATATCTTTCTGAAATATCCACATACAGCAGGTCTCAGCTAAAGAATATGTCCTCCACAGGCCAGTTTAACTCCTCACTGCCATGGTGTGTAAGCGTTTACAGTAATATTAGTGGTAAGTGGATTTCAAAACCAAACCCCAAACCTCCCAAACTCTCAAAATCCAAAAGGGCCAAATACAATTTTAAGAATATGAAAATTAAAAAGATGTTTAAAACATGTGCTGCTGGTCTGCATTCACTGACCACAGGGTTATAGCTGGCTTAGGACTTTAAATTCAGCTCCAGGAAATGAACGCCTGACTGGGACACACTAGGACAAGATGGAGAGTAGCCCCATGAATTTTTCAGTCTACTCACTAGAGTGAGCTCAGCTGCCTTCCCTTCACCTGAGGCTCTCCACACCATTACATCTCATAATACTGCTGGTTCTGCTCTGAGAAAAACTGGTCCATGGCCTGTGTGTGAGGGGCCAATCAAGGCAAGGCAAGCTACAAAAAAATGTGGCCCATTTTTTTGGCATTTTTTGTGGCCCATTCAGTAAGTATCTTCCCCTGAACTGACAGAAAAGGATGGACAAGTGATTTTGAGATATCCACAAGGGAAAACCTAATTGACAGCTAATTTAAAACTTTTAAAGAAGGTTCCTGAAGGTTTATGGTGAGGTAGGGATGAGAGAGGGAAACTGAAAACACTGGAAAGAAAATATTTATTAAAAGCAGCAGCAACAGCATACCTGTATGAAATAATCATGGTTCAAAACAGGGATCAGGGACTACCACTCTGCAGCTGGAAGGGGAAGTCAGGGAAACAAAAGGGAAAAGAGAAGTAGGTGTTTGTAATTGCTATTTTAGAATATGCCTGCTTCCAGGGCGCCTGGGTGGCACAGTTGGTTAAGTATCTGAGTCCTGGTTTCAGTTGGGGTCCTGATCTCCAGGTTGCCAGATCAAGCCCCGCATTGCGCTCCAAATTCAGCACAGAGTCTGCTTAAGACTCTCCCTTTCCCTCCCCCTCCCTGCACTCTTTCTCATTCACACTGTCTCTAAAATAAATATATAAATCTTAAAAAAAAAAAAAAATATATATATATATATATATGTATGCCTGCTTCCACTACAAGGTTAAAGGTGGGGTTAATGTGGAAGCTGGGATATTTCAAAGCAACAGCAACTTTCAACAAGCTTCCTTTGGGCCTCTAAGACAGGATGATTTTGAGGGAAGAGCAAAGAAGGAAGAAAATTATATCTCTGCCAAGACAGGTTTTCCCAAAATCACCCTGACTTGCCTCAGAAGCATCAGCCTTCCAGAATGTATGGGGATGATAAAAACCAACCCAGATGCTTAGTTTGATCTGGGCAATACTTCGTATTAGAAAGCAAAAACAAATAAATTCCAGGGATTTCCAAATCCTTATTTACAAAATAAAATCTATGAGTGTAACATGTGGTCTTTAAAAAAAAAAAAAAAAAAAAAAGAAAAGAAAAAAAAAAGAAAAGAAAAGAAAAGAAAAAAAAAAAAGAGAATGCACTTAATAATCAGGAAAGGCTGCACAAATACCATGTACTCTTTCTTAAGTAATATACAGCAAATCAACAATACCTCATTTTTTCCATTACTAGAAAGGGAAAAAGAAAAGCTTTTTAATATTGGCTAGCCCAGCCTGCTCTGAATTTCAATTATCTTGGCAATTTAGATTTCACATAAATCTTTCACCACCCCCTCCCCACCCAGCTCACATTTCAGGTGCTTCTTGGTGATTGTGAATTAGGCTGCATATCAGCCGAATAGGTCATGTTCAACCTGTGTCCAAGGAAGGATTTTTTTTTAATAAGTCTATAAGAAAGTGCTGAATTCAGTTTGGGCATCCCCAGCCCGGTGCATGCTCGCCTTGCCTTCAGCGCCCTCGCCGACAGCCTGTGCTTTGGTCCCCAGCCTACCTTGTAAATGTTGAGACTGCGATTGTGTGTGGGACTTCTTTTTGGAGGTGCATTTGTCTCTGCTACTGTTCCTGTTCTCCGTGGGTTTGCTGTGAGGAGGGTCATCATTTGTGGTCAGATACTTGAGAAGCTCCGAGCAGGGACGTCTTTGTGGCTTTTGCTGTTGACAAATGCTTTTCGCTTTATTGCTCCATGAATTCTCGGTCTTAAAAACAAGGCATAAAGAAAGCTAAAATTAGTGAACTGAACCTTATCAGAATGGATATAGGTTTTCTGAAGAGATGAGATTTTCAATGAAGTGTTCAGTCTAAGTGTACTAGATCTATGAGCTGTGAATAATTGTTTGCAGAACAAGGAAAGAAAATTACATTTAAAATTCCTAAATGACATTTATGCAGCTTTTTATTTCATTTCTCCTACATTTCAATGTTCCTACTCAGCAACATGTAACTAACAAGACCCTATAGCGCCTTTACTGTGAATAAAAAAAAATAAGCTGGTTTAAACCTTAATTTGCCACTGATTGCTGGAGCCCCGTATTCACAATTCTCTTAAGTACCCCTTAACGCTCCGTTTTCACTCACAGTGAATGGCAAGACAAACATTGTTTAATACAGCCCGCTAACCGAATTATGTCATTGCCAGCATTCTATCCAATTAATGGCAGAGATAGATCTTTTGTGGTGATTCCAGAGCAATCTTTCTCAGGTTAGACAGCTGGCAAAATGGCAATCCTGCATCTTAAAGTCACTCCTAGATAATACCAGCCGATCAGCAAATTTTATTGTAACCCACATTGCTGCGCGTATTAATAAAGCGGGCAAGGAGTAACAGACGGTGGAACTTCCATTCCAATCATCCAAAGACAAAGCATAAATGAACTCTTTCTAGTTTAAAGTAGCTGGAGCCCTGCTTTTGGAAACCCATTTCATATTGTTTCACATTATAAAGCAACTGCAGGATCCCAGCTGAATACATAGAAATAAACCTATCCTTTGTTTTACTGCTTCAAGCAGAATCCTTTGTTACTTTCCCTCCTATATTAAAAAGTTTGCATTGTACCTTAACAACTGCAGGGTTTGCTCTGATCCTGTGATTATGGTTTGCATGGTTCTGGGTACTGAGACCACTGCATTCATTATAACTTAGCTGAGTGTTGGCTGGTGCCAGTAAGAGCTTCTTAAGCTAGAAACGTATCAGAGAAGGGGAAAAGCAAGAGAAGTTATGCATCTTGTAAGCATTAGAATACGTTACTGAAATTTTAAACTGAAAATTAATTAATTATAAAAATTAATTCTCTCACTCTTTAATTATAGTCACACCAAGGCACAATAGCGCTAAAGGAAATGCATTCTTAAAAAGTACGAAAAAATTTGGCGTTATACTACCAACTGTGAAAGTATTTCCTTTCCCTACACTGACACTTAGTATTGTCTACCTTAATTTGTTTTGTTTTGTTTTGTTTTTCTTTTTGGGGGATAAAATAAGGTAAAAGGATCCTCCTGAAAGGATTTCCAAATACCCACTAGGTGAGAAAATTTGCCCTGCTAAATGAGGAGTTGGGGGTTGGGGACAGAATATAGGAAATTTTTCCCTCAGTAATCCAAATGAATTAAGTGAAAATAAATAAAAGCTTCATAATGCTTTGAATGATATTTTCAAAATCCAGTTTAACTTTACTTATTCAAAGTATATTTATGGTGAAAGAGTGGCTATCACTGAAACAGACTTGTAAGTGGGCAGAGTTAGGAGATGTGATTCTGGCTCATGTGAAGCATTTACTCTTTCTTGACTCTTTCTTTGCTCTTTCTTCATTTAACTCGCTGGCCTTCTAGGCCCTCCCTGCTCAGACAGGCAGTATGAGGCTGAGTCAACAACCCTTCCCAGTTGAACCAATTATCTGGATGAAAATCCTCTTGTATCAATGTAAAGACATCAAAGTACCAGCCAGCAAGGCCAACGGCAAATGGAGAAATGGTGGAGGGGTGGGAGGAGGGTAGAAATTACTTATGAGGGAGTTTCTTCTAAACCAGAAATCTCGGAATGAACAGGAGTACAAGTAGACTCTCCATATGTTTACATGGAATGTTTTTTTAACATTTAAAAAGCTTAGATATGGGAGAGAAACAACCCCTAAATGGCATGCCAAGGAGCATTATTAAAGTTTGGACGATAGCATTCCATAATTTACATAGTATGGTCTTACATCAGATTTATGGCAAATGACAAATGGCTACCATAGATGAGAAGGTAAACTGTGTCTTAGAACTAATAAAATTCTGGTCAAGCACTGCATTGAAAGAAAATTTACTCTTCATTGCCAACAAATTCACTCTTCAATGCCTCCCATAAATTTAGGGAACTTAGGTTGCAAATGTGCTATTATTTTTCAATCTTCACAAGAATTATGGATCTAAAACCTTAAAATATTACATATCCCTGGATCTACCTTTTATTCCTAGAATCATAGGCATAAGAATAAAACTATAAATGTGTCGATTGTTATATAATTTATGATGGTGAAAAAATAGAAAAAAGACTAAATATCCAGCCATAAGAAATCTCTTAATGAACTAAGACCTCTCCAAACAATAAAATAATAACTGATACAAACAGTTATGCATATATTTCAAATTCATAAACATAACAATGTGTCTTAAAACAAGAGGAGATTTCAGTCTTTTTTTATATCAGAGATGATTTGATTTTACAGGTGAATTTTCGATCTGTACTTTTTGGGTTGTCTATGTTTTCTAAGTTTCTACCACGAACATAAATAATGCTAAGAAATAAAAATACACACACAACAAACATAGCAAAAGACAGTTAAAACAAACTGTAGTAAGACCACATGAAAACTGTTATTACCAACATTTTTAAACACAGAATCACAGAATTCGCAACTCCGAGTCCGTTCGGGAATTGTTTTTGGCATCAATCTAAATTAAAAATCCAGACCTTATTGTTACTACATCATACCCATGCAGCGGGTAGCCAGAGGCAACTCCAATTCCTGTTAAACAGTAGGAAGGGTTCTTACTAGAGACGGCTCTTCTGCCTCCTGAGGCGGAGGGGTGCCGTCAGGCATGGAGGAAGGACTAGCCTCATTCTCAGTGGTCACATCTCCATCTGTCAGCGCATCAAATGAGGGCAATCCGTCTTCATCCACAGGGAGACTGTCCAGTGTCTCTGTGAGGACTGCTAGCAAGTTTGCCTCATTCTCTTCATCTATCTTCTGCAAAAACAGAAAAATAGACAACATGAGTGAGCTGACTTGGGGGGACAGGTTACACCATCAATCAGTGTAGACAGATCATGTTTATACAAATGAGCAGTAACGTGTACGTGAAATGGTTAAATGATCATGCCAGAACACAAAGGATCATGTCTTCTTCAAACTCCAAATTCACTTTTGGTCTGAATCACACCATGAACTGACACCTCGTAGTACCAATTTCTGCTGGGTGAGCTGTCCCAGCTAGCAATTTATGATGCTGGTGCCTATTATGGCCGTATAGGACACAATCTTGTTCGCATTCGCTTTCCCCATGTGTGTGTCTTGTTTCCCTAACTAAAGGAGAAGGTCTAGAGAATCTCAGAACTTGAGAGAATTTTCACCATTATCTATTTCATCTTCAGATATAGTGTTTCAATCTCCTGTGCAGCCGAAATGTTTAGATAACCCTCTGTTTGAACAGCACCAGAAACTGAAACTATACTGAGAGGAACTATACACTTTCATGGTTTCAATTATAATCTCAACACCAAATACTCCACAACCATTCATTTCCCTCCCTGACATCTCTCCCAACTTTAGTCATAAATCTAGAACTGCCCACTGGATACTTCTACCTGATAATAGCTCCCTCATCCTCCAAAACCCAAACTTAGAACCTTTCACAAAAAAACTGCTGTTTCCCTTGACTTCCTGGGTTTGGGTAACAATTCTCCAGACCCAGACTATAGAACTACTTTGAGTCCTCTTTATCTGGTCAGTCATTAAGTAGAGTCCCACTTTGTCATGTCTCTTCAATGCAGTCGTTTCTTGTAGCCAGGGTACGATTCTAGTGAGACATTACTTGGAATGGGGGCTCCTGCGAACATATTCTAACTTGTTTCTGCAACTCGCACAGTCACTTGCATGCACACACCCTTGGAAAGTTAATCTTCAGGTATTTATTCCATAAACATATCTGCATACCTACTATACCAGGACCATGTTTGGTGTTAGAGATAGAAAGAGAGAGATAAACCTCTGTCCTCCAAAAATCCTCCAGTGGAAGGGAAAGAAACTGTGAATAATTTATTATAAAAGATAACATTTATTTCAGTACTCTGTACAAGCTTATACACCCTGTTTATAGGGAAATGTGCTATATTCTAATCCTGGGCCACCGGTGCCAATGCTAGGCACACAGCGTGGCCATTGATGACTTGCTGAATAATTCATCGATCTGCATTTACTACCTAGAATATATGTTGTATAGATCACTTTCTCTTCCTTCTGTTAGCACTTCACTTTGTTTGTCCAATTTGACCTGCTTCATAAATCTTTTTTTTTTTTAAAGTTCTGGATGCTATGACATTAACAATATCGGCTAAATTATCCCACACAGATTCTATTACAAAATGCACCTAAGCTGCTGACATCTAATGAAGCCAGCAGTGCCCACACATCCTTTCTCTCTAGCACTGAACTCCAGTTAATTGACCTGACAAAATTACAAGAATCACAGAATAAGACAGCTAATCAGAAAATCAAATTGTATTACTAGAGAAATTAGGCAGGCCTTTATCACGTATACATTCTATTTTCACATAAAAATTGTTTTCCCTCATTACTGATGAGTCCCCATCCAGGAGTAAAACTGCAGACTTCTTTCTCTTTTGGATTCAAGAGGCCAAAAAGAGCCATTTGTACTCATGGTAGACTTTACTAGTATTTCTTACGCTTGCATTATGTGTCTCTGTAATGCCGCTGGACTTGACATCATGAGTCAAATGGATTTGGGCACATGGGGTGGAATGACAACTTTCTGAGATTGAGGACTCCCCTGAAGAAGGTAAATCCTAATTGGATTGGGGTGGGGGGTCGTGGATGTTAACTTCAAAATGGTACCACTTCTTCCAGAAACTGACCGATTCTTTAAAAATCAAACTGCTTAATAGCAAATCATTATTGAGCATACTGTGGAGCTTCAGTTCTCCTAGAGCTGTCCATGTAATCTGAATAATAAAGATATTGAGATGATTTTCATTTATTTTCTGCCTGGCATGATAATCTGGTGTCCAAAGATTCCAATCTCTCCCCTTTCAATTCAGATTCTGCCCCTCCCACCATACAAAAAAACAAATTTGGGTTATTCATCTGTCCTAAATAGAAATTATATTTAATTTAAGCACATATTACTTTAAGTCATCTAAAATAATGAGATTTACATTAATATAAATATATCCATATTATCTAATAAAAATAATCTTTGAAGTTATCTCAAGCACACACACACACACACACACACACACACTCACGCACACACAGTTTCAGTAAATTGGATTTTTTTTCCAGGTATCCCAATTTTCAGAAAGGCTTATTTCACTGAAGTTCAAAAATAGCTCAAGAAAAACAGTTAAGAATGTTTACCAATAAATGAGTAATTTTGTTTACCCTGATTTAAATTTTGTATTTGGCTTTCCAGCAACACTACAAGCCTCTATTTGCTTTCAATCACATAATACAATAGCGCCTTAGTTCTATCCCTAGTGTAAACAAACTACAATAATTCCAATCAAGTCAGAATGACAAAGAACACTTAAATTAACTAGTTTTCTCCAATTTCTTTAATAAGCCTGGGTGAATGTACATCAAAAACAATGGCAGAAATATTGGAGCCTGATAATGTCATAATTAATTTACAAGATCTGATTAAACCACAGCTATTTAAATTCTCTCTACTGGAACCACAATGGGAGGGAGGGTTGTGGAATGGAAGATTGGCAGAGTGTGTGTGTGTGTGTGTGTGTGAGAGATATGGGGTATGTGGGTAGGGTATGCTGGCGTTCAACCAGGATGGACCAGTAGGACTCTAATCCTTATTTAGAACCCGCGTTCATCAGGCACATGGCTGACTCAATGAGGGGCTTGGAGACAGTTTATTTTAGTAAAGTTGTTCTTGAAGGAAAGAACGTTATTTCCAATTCTCTGTGTTTTGTCTAATCATAGAAGACTGGGGAAAAAGATATTTCCCAATGACATTTTTGTTCTGAAACTCAAAAGATATTCCTGTATGTAAAGCTGAGTGGACATTGCTCCTCACTGTGGCAATTCCAATTAGTTTAGCATGAGTTTCAACAATCAAACACTCCAGAGAAGGCAATGGATGTGACAAAAAAGACTCTGGTAAACAATTAATGTCACTTCCCATTATTGCTTCGGTCCCAATTTACAGAGCAAATAAATCAAAGTCACTGCAGATGAAGCACTTTGGCCTATGAACACATGTCTGTTCACAGGTGACGGGGCATTGAAATACATCAGGCAGTAAAACGACTTTGCAAAATAACCTTTCAAAGACTGCTCTGACACCGCTTTCTAACTGTTCGAAATTACTATTTTTACAAAAATATATTTATTAGCTCCATATAAGTTAAGAAAAGAAAAGCGGAGAGGTGAAAAAGAGAGAGCAGGTCACCAATTAGGTAGTGATCTAAAGCTACACAGCTGAGCCCAGTGTTGAGGGTGGCAGCAGAGAAGAAAGGAAAGGTAGGGAACAGGCCAACAAGCATTTCCACCGGGGAGCTCTGTGACTCTCAAGCAGCTTTAGCCATGCTGGGCGTCAACCTGGGCTCTCCTTAAGCAAGGCAAGTCTGTGGCTCGTCTTGCCATAGAAATAAACATCATGTCACCATAATGCTTGTTTTCGAAAGGTGCTTCTGGAGTAAGGAAGCCCATTCTACAGATGCTCAAGCCATAAAGAATTTCCACTGATAGGTGATACACGTACATGTATACTAACAACCCAAAATTCAGAATGGGCAATAATTCTGATGTAATGCTCTGTCATTAACAAACGATAGTTCAGAACACTTGGTTCATTCCTACTCCTTGGGACTCCTCAGTCCCCATCTGACCTACCCTAAGTATAATATAATTCAAAGGGCACAGTTAAAGGAAGGCAGATTCTGTATCTTCGGGTACAGAGAGTCACCTCAAGACTGAAATTTGGGGTCCCGGACATAATACCTGGGCCTTCCTCCCCTGTGAGCAGTTGGCAAAAAGGATATTCCAAATGATTACACATGGTGGGGCAGACAGTGCACTGAGCTCACCCAAGTGCATAGAGAGGGAATAAATCTACTAAATTAAGGAGGAAATGAAGGACTCCGAGATGTTACTAGACACCTGAAGGGAGAACTGCAAAGTGAAACCGGCATGTGGTATCCCAAAGATTTTTAAATGCAGGCTATTATGGAAGGACCATGCCCTGCTTATGATAGTAATTTTTTCCACATCTTGTAGAATTGCAATTACACTCTGCGTCCCCAGATTCTCACACTCGCTTGATCTCTGTTTGATAAAAATAGTTTAATAGCCATTTAATCACAGCTTCATTATCTTAGCTCTCTTAATGCGAATTAGGCCAGGAGAATTCCTGCTTCCTCATTATTCAAATCATCAATAAGAAGGAAACAGTGGGGTCTTCTTATCATTCATTAATCAGTTTCAATATCTTAGGTACTGTTTACTCAAAGATCAATCTATGTGAGAGGTCACTTAACCTCTGTGAGCCTCTATTTTTTTTTTCTATATATAAAAATCCAGGTTATTATCTGCCTAATTCCAAGGACAGAATTTTTCTGCACTCATGGTTAATAGGGAGAAAAAAAAAAGAATGGACAAAAGCCTGAGAATCCTTCAAGAAGTGGCTCAATAAACATTTACAGTGTATATGCCTATCATCTTGACTGCCCATATTTGAATTTCCTTCGAGCATGATCTACCGCCGATTTTTAGCACCAGGCCAGCTTCTTCCCAAATACCCAGCATGCCTTGGGCTTCCTCCTTGCCCCATCCTGCTGATTTGGAAGCAGCTAATGAAGACAAAATTAACTCCTACTTTAAGTGAGGCCTAATTAGGAAGGGAAATCTGCTAGAGTAACATCTGGTAATGCATTCTGAAGCCAAATATAAATGACATTTTTGGATTATCCACTATTTTGGATTATTTCTCCCACTAG